CCCCCCCCCGCGCCCGCCGCTCTGCCGCGTGGCCGCCGCGCTCCTCCCCGCCGCGGACGCTTTGCCGGCCGCTCGCCCGCTACCTGAAACTCCCCCGCCGCCGCCGCGCCGCCGCCGCCGCCCGAGAGCCAGCCGAGCGTGCCCACCTCGGGATCATGCCTGCGCCCGGCTGTCTCCGCCCCGCCTGCCTCCAGCTCGGCGGGTGAGGCAGCCTCCTCCGCTCAGGTAAGGCTCCAGGAAGCTCCTTCCCTTTCCCCTCCCTTCCGCGAGCGGGCGGCTGTTTTCTGGGACTGCGCTCGATTGCCACCGAGGCGAGCAACCCCGCAAAGTTTCCAGCTTCGTCCGTTCCCTCAAGTCTTCGCTGAGAGCCGCGCGGCTGTGGTTGGAGGGAGGACCGCGGGGGAGGCAGCCCGGGCCAAATGCGGGGGAGGGCGGGCAGAGACTTTCTTGCCCAGTCCTGGAAGGAAGTTCGGGGGGCGGCTGGGCGCTTCCCGCCTCGCCTCGCTCCCAGGAGCCTGAACCGAGCGGGAAAGGTGCCTTCAGCTCCTGACACGCCGAGGAGCGCAAGGGCGAGCCCGGGCTACCGTTGGCTAGGCCAGGCTAGTGGGCTTCTCGCTCCGACGCCGGGTTTGGGCAGGAGGGAAGCCGCGGCTCCTGCCGGGGAGCTCCCCGCCGGGGTGGCTTGCCCTAAAATGCTGTTCCTGGGCGGTTGCGCTGCATCCGGGGGAGGAGAGCCCCCTGCCGTTTCCTCGCCCGTCGCGGCTGGCGCCTTCCCTCGCACCTGGTGAAAGGGGTGGAAAGGCCGCTCTGAAACGCCGCCGCCTTCAGGGAGGCTGGTGCGCGACTTAGTACGCGCTGGGTTGTAACTGGGGGCAAGCAGACGCGTGTCTATTCGGAAGTAAGGCCGATGTGTGTCCGTCTCAGCACGCGTGCCTCGAATCGGAGCCTTAGCCTAAAAGCTGAGCCAGCCACTAGTCCCAGCTCTGGCAGTTACCTTTGCTGAGAAAAAACTCCATAAATCCAAACTCCAAGGAAAAAGCAAGACCCCTTGGATTCGGGAGACCCTGTGGAGTTCAAAGGGGTATCCAGTTTATCTACAAGTTCCCTGTGAAGTAATCAGGGAGAGGATTACCCATGACCATCCATTGTGCTCTGTGGAACAGGGTGGGATTTGAACCCAGGACTGGAAAGTTTGGGTCAAAGCATTGCCTCGGTTTAAACAATGCTCACTCTGTAGACACACCTGATATTTGGCAGAATGTCAGCTTTCCTCAAATCTGGACACTCTCCAGAAATGTCAGTTCTGCTCCCAATATTCCCAGCTGTGGCTGTGCATTCTGGGCATTGCAGTCCTGATACCTCTGGAGAGCACCAGATTGTGGAAGGCTTGTCTGCATCTAATGTAACTTAATTTATGCTATTACAGCCTAGCATTTTCTGAATGTGTTGGGACTGCAATGCCTAGAATTCTCTGCCAGTCCCAACATATCTGCAGGGCACCAGGTTACAAAAAGCTGGTTGTCAATTAAATGATTAATAAGTATCTTCAAGATATCAAAATAGTTGGTGATAGGGAAAGCCTGGCATGAAAGCACCTTGGATGAAGAAGTCACCTGAGAACAAATCCAAGTATGGTACGAAGTCCTGAGGAGCGCAGCCTGCCAAACAGGAACAGGGGCTTCTTGGATGTGAGGGCAGGCAGAGCCCCCTTCTCCCTCTCCTCTTTGGGCTCCATTAACTCTTGGAACACAGTGGCAGCATTTCAGAAGTGATGCTTAAAGCATGTACGTATGCGTGTCGTAGCCTGCATCTGTCATTGCTTTTTGCTCAAATTGGCTGGTAATTGAATACAAAATTAACATTGGCAAAAGCAAATATTCATTTAAAAAATGGATCTCTTCTGCTTTCTGCCTGGCATGAAGAACATCCACCCCTACACAAATATGAGGGGAGACAAGTTCAGGGGCACTTCTGTTGCCTGACATAATAAGCCCTGTGCTGCAGGGGTCTCTTGCCCCACAGTTCCCCTTCTCCTTCAGCCCATCCTGTGAAGCCTATGCCAGGCAAACTCTGCCCATATCCTGCTCTGCAGAAGCCTATTTGGCTTCTGGGTATGAGACTGGTTTGTAGCCCTGCCACATTTCTAGCTGTTTCCTCCACAGGTTAGTTTTATCCCGGAGGTAGTTTCTGCCTCTTTCCATAGAGGCAGCAGCTCTTTCTGGACAGCAGCTCTCCTCTTACTTCATTCTCTCTCATGACAGCAGGGGCTAGAGATGTGGCTACCGTCAGATAAACTAGCATGGAGTCCTTTGGAGTATGGGAGGGGGGATGCAGCAAGCCAGGTGTAAAACCCTGGAAGGCTTTCATTCTCTGTCCCTGGCAAAATTGGCCTTATAACAGGCGCTTCTTGCAATGGCCCTCCTGCCTCCCAGCCTGCTTTGTGCAGCTGGGGTAGAATCCTTCCTTCCTTGCAGGAAAAGTCTTTCCCAGCTATGCTTTCATCTTTCTGCCTGGGAGTGACTTCCCATGTTGGTTTACCGGATTGTTGCATGCTGATTCATTAATTAATTGCAGCTTTAAAATGTGAAGTTCAAATAGCGTTTTGTTCAAATTGCTGTTCTGAAAAAAGGGAGTTGCTTTTCATCATCTATGCGAGTCTCGTTATCTACATAATATTTCCAAATGTCTGTTTGTTTGTCTTTTAAGTAAGACATGGCTTAGTGGAAACCTTTTTTCTTTTTTCTTCCCTGCATAAAGTATACTTTAAAATGGCACCCAGTTTCCTTAACACTTAACTGGTTTGAGGAAAGGCAATTCATTAATTAAACACACACTCTTCTACACCTTGAATAAATTGGTTGCTCTAACTTTGCTGAGAGAATCCAAAATGCAGCCATTCGGAGCTTCATATTGTCAAGATGGAGGGAAATTCTAGAATTCTATTGGACAAAGACAGTTTTGCAATACCCCCATGACCAATCGCAGTTCAGAGTTGTAGGACACAAAGCTGGCTAGATGAGCTATCTTTGGATGAGTGTTGAAAGAAGGGTCGGGGTACGTAGCATCAGTGCTAGAGAAATTAGGCAGATAATTGGCAAGAATGTATGTAGGAAAGAAACTGTGGGTTGGGTAATAGAAGATGCCTAGGGATAACCCATCCTCAGGTTCCTAGGTGGTAAGTGTGGGATTATTGTTTAAATTCAAAAAACAATGGGATTATATAAAAAGGTATGGTAAGTGACATGCTATTCTTTCTACATAGAGATAGATCATGTATAGGGAAAATGGTATATTGGTCTACATAGATTTGCATAATGCCAAAATACTGATTTTTGTCATTAGTATACAATTCAGGGATCTGCAGCATGCATTAAATGCCTTGTTTGTCTTATTTGAAAAGTGACAATGCTTGTGTCATTTTCTTTTAAAACAGTATACATCAACTGTCTCCAGTCTGGCAGCCTCCAGATTGTAACACTCAGAATATGCCTGAAGTGTCAGGTTGGAGAAGGTTGGTGTATGCATGTAAAATGAATGTAGAATGAGAAACTACATGGGATATAATTCACGTTCTGTGAAAAAGCTTGTTATAAACTCTTAGTGGCCACAAGATGTGTTTTGCTTCTGGTGATAGGCAGGGTGTAGAATGTAGAACTGGACAGGGACTGCTTAACCCCTTCTCCATCTTCCTTCACCCTCTCTCCATATTATCTCCAGCTGCTCTTCCTAGAAAAGCTCCAAATGCAAGTTTGAGAGGGCAAATGTATGGAATTCTGCTAGAGAGGAAGAAGATGGGGACAGATGCTTATCTGTAACTGTTAGCTTAGCCCTAAAAAAAATAATTGCCTCTTTCTTTCTCCCTTTCTTTGCCATTTTCTAAAATTACATTACTTTGAAAAACTCTCATCTCATTTTCTCTTCCAGTCTTTTTCAAGCATATGCTTCTAATGTCCCTTCTTCCTGCAGTATGTCTTTTGAGCATCTGGGAAATTATTTCCCCGGAGAGATGTGTTATGAGCACTTTTATAAGAGAAATATATGATTGTCAGGTTTTGCTTTATTCCCTCAACTTTTTCTTTTTTTAGCTAAAGGAGGATGTCTCTGAAGATTACAGATCTGAGAGACACAGAAATTTTGTTCAGTTAATGACAAGGGCAGAGTTATCCATCTGGACTAAGCACCATGAGTCAATCCAATCTTTGTATTCCAAAGCAACAGTGTTTCAGTGTTTCAGAATAACCTGCATGCTTACAATGATATTTTTGGCGTTTCCCCATCTCAGGATTCACCATTTTCACTACCTGAATGCAGAAGAGAAGGGGGAAAAGCCAGGACAGAGTATCCATGGTACAGCAGGATCCCAAAACAAGACATTTGATATGCGCCCTTGTGCACCTGTTTCCCCTCAAACTCCATGGGCACATAGCCCTAATCATTAAAACACCGAATATACAAGGCCTTGGGAAGAAGGAAGGGAATCAAAGTTCAAACATGGAGAGGGTATGTTTGGTATTCAAAGTGATCAGATTGATCAGTACATTTCATTAAAGGCAGTAGAATTAATAAGGTAAAGTATGAGTGCCAGTGTTATTTCAGCATTTGAGTTTCCCCACACAATCCTCTTCTTGAACAATTGACCAATGGGCAGAAAATAATGACCAAAAAAAAATTGCACCGACTGACATATGATACAGTGAGGAGAAAGAGGGGAAGCAAGATTTCAAATGAACACTCACTCCTAGCTTCTCAGAGGCTCAAAAAGGCTCTGGGCACATTCTGCGCCAGAATACTGAGGGCAATAAGGGTGCTTCAAGATTATGCTTTTATTCAGGAACTAATCACACAGCTTCATTCAGGAAATTCTATAAGAGCTTCCGACAGTATTGCCTTCTCATCAGTTAACAGTTCTCACAGTAGCTTGCCTTGCTTTCCCATCTCACTTCCATGTTTCTGATTATGAAAAATCTGTTCAGCAGGGAAAGGCAGAATGACTTTTGACTGGTAGATAGCTCTAAAGGGCATCTGTTAGGAGATACCTCTGTCTCAGGAACATATTTTCCACATACCTTTCAGTTAATGTTTACTATAGTTCTAGAACAGCAGCTGCATCCACACAGCTGGCTTGTCGTGGGATCATGGGATGCGATCATGCTACCCTAAATCTTGCTGCCCCCACAGTGCACCCTTACCATGCACCTGGTATGGGTCTGCTGTGCAACTGCCCA